TGTTATATCTCGGCTCCGGGTTTACCGGTAATAAGCGCAAACTCCAGAAATAACGCCTTTTGATTTCAGGACAAGAGGATAATCGCTTGTCTATCTTAGATAATCGATTGTCTGATGCTGCAGTTTCTTGGATTTTCTGGAGGGATTGATAGTCGATTATCAGTATGGTGATAATCGATTATAGAGGACTGCAGGAGTTTCCTTTGATGTATGATAATCGATTTCCGAGGTTGATAATCGATTAACGACGCATGCAGGTGTTTTGATGGAGGAATGATAATCGATTATTAACAAGGATAATCGATTATTTTGGCAGATTTCTGGGAACGAAATGATGGTGTTTGTGTGGGGAAAGGCTGGAAAAATATGGGGATGATGAAGGGGTTCTTTTGGGTATTTTTTTAATGGAAGAAAAGAGTAAGATTAAGAGGAGAAATGGGGAGGTATGAAATAGAAGAAAATCAGGGATGGATAAACCAAGTTGGTGTTTAAGAGATATTACACACTCTTATCCTAACTTGGGGTTTGAATCTAGAATTTAATTAAGATATGACACACTTAATCAAATATCTAAAACCTAAAACTCACACTTAAGATAACCACTCTTAAGATATAAAATTAGGACTTTGGCTAAAATAGCATCACACTATTTTATGAATACTCAAAGAGTAAAAGGAGTTTTAATATTCAGAGATGTGTTACAATAGCCATAAGGCCTGAGTTATATAGGCAGGGGAAAGGGGAAATAATACAATACATTGAATGTAACTTAGGGAAGCTTCCTTGCAACAATCTCTTCCAAGGCATGGGGTATTGGCCACTCATTCCTGTCTCCTTAGTGGAATAAAATCAGGGATGGGGCTGGGGATTGTGGGGTTTTGGGTTTTAGGATTGTAGTGGTTGTTTTCCTGGGTTTTGTGGGTATTATTTGGGTAAGAATGGAGGGTTGTTTTTGGTTATTAAAAGGGGACAGGACTGGGTATTATTTGTGGGTATTTTGGAGTTATGGCTTTGGGTTATTGTGAGGGAAAACATGGGCAGGAAGTAGGGGCTGGAGGTGGGTCATGGTTTTGGCTCTTTGTGGGTGTTGTGTTGGGATTGTGAGTTTTATTTGGGCAGGGAATGAAAGGAAGGAAGAGAGGGTTTTACTTGTTTATTAAAAGGCTTAAAAGAAGGAAAATAACAACAAACAAAAAGGTTTTGGTTTACACACTCTTATTTTCGGCCAGGGCTATAATAAGAGTAAGAAAAACTTTATTTTGAAAAGGAAATATTTAGGATGTTTAGGGAAGGTATGGTGAGTGTGGGCTCAGCCTAGGGTGGGTGTAGGACAACCATGGTGTTGGGTTGGGTTCTAAGGCAGGAAAATGGATAAGTTTCAACCCAATTAATGTCACCACACTTGGGCTTTATTCCCCTGATCCGTCTATCCCTTGGCGGGCTACGGAGAGTCTTCGGACATGCTCCCGGATATATATCATCCTTCCCTTCTTCGAAAGAGTTTGCCCTCAAACTCGGCTTTTCTTCACGCTCATCTTTGGGGTTTGGATGTGGTAATCTATCTTTATCTCTAGAACACCTTGAGGACGTGTTCTCTCTCACACCTGTGCATTTGTGAATGACCTGCAAATTGAACAAAAAAGTGTTGGCATTAAAAGCCGTTAGTGTCGGTTTGCCCCCGAGGCTTTCCTTTTCACAGAAGTGGTAGGGTAGGGGGTCTTTAAAGAGGCCCAACCGCTGGTTTTGCTCAAGCAAAGAATCATATGGTGACTCTTTAGATTCGTGGTAGGCAAACATGGCAAGTACGGATGGGAGCGGTGTTTTGGGCAGCTTGTTGGATGGTATTATTGGGGAAAGAGTGATTCTCCTAGTATTCAAGAAGAATGAATACGAGTTGGTGAAGCCATCATAGGAAACTCGCCGATCATATAACCATGGTCTCCCGAGTAGGAGATGACAAACTTTCATGGGAATCACATCGCACCAAACCGTATCGTGGTAAGACGGTCCTACACGAAATGAAACCAAACTTTGTGTCTTCACACGTGCTCCTTCATCTAGATTCAACCAATGAATCTCATATGGAGGGAGATGCGGCAACATCTCTAGATTGAGTCTTTCCACCGTTGTTTTTGAGACGAGGTTGGCACTACTTCCGCTATAAATGATCATTGAACAAATCTTTTCGTTTATGGTGCAAGGATTACGAAAGATACTCTCCCTGGGTGAGTGATCATTTCTGGAAGCCTCTAAGTTCTTGGTCTTTTGAACGACCAATAGCTCTCCTTCGTCCGGGCCAATTATCTCTTCTTCTTCTTCTCTTTCTTCATTAACCCAAGACGGGTTAATCTCTTCGTCATCCATCTCGATGATAGCCATGAGCTTTTTATTGGGACACTCACTAGCGTAGTGACCGATCCCTTGGCAATGAAAACATTTTTGAATTCGGCTATTTGACGAACTTGGTTTTGAAGGGGTGGATGGGTTTGGCGGGGGAGTGGGGTGAACGGGCCTGGAGTTTTGGAATGAAGTGGGCGTGGGCTTTTGGGCATCTTGTGGGGTGGCGTGTGGACTGTTTGGAGAGGAGTTGATTGGGTGTTGATACGGGGTAGATGTTCGGTTCAAATGGGCCTTACCTTTCTTGAGTTGGGCTTCCACTTTCAACGCTAACTTAGTTAGCTCTTCAAGACTTTCGAATGTTTGCAGCTCCACGGTGTTGGCTATTTGGGTGTTTAGGCCAAATAGGTACCTCACAAATGTTTGTGAATCGTTCTCTTGAAGGTCACACCTCATCAAGAGTTCCTCGAACTCTCGGTTGTACTCCTCTACGGACCGGTTGCCTTGCCTCAAGTGTTGAAGCCTAGCAAAATTCTCCCTCACATAGTGAGTGGGGATAAACTTCTTCTTCAAAAGGGCCATCATCTTTGTCCACGTTCTCACGACGGCTTTTCCTTCTCTTCTGCGTTTGGTGGTAGTGTTAGCCCACCACGTGGAAGCATAGCCTCTAAACTTCAAGGCTCTCAACTTGACCTTCTTGTCTTCCGGAACTTCGGCATAGTCAAAGGCGCGTTCAACCGTTTCTAACCATTCGATGAAATCATCGGGGTCGTCCTTGCCATCAAAGGTTGGGATTTCAACCTTGAAATCAGAGGAAGACTTCTCTTGGTTGTTTCTCCTTATGGTGGGAGAAGGAACTCCTGATTGGACGTCTTCTTCTTGCTCATCTTCACTTTCCTCTGGAGTTTGGACCATGCCCATTTTCAACTTGGTGAGTTGAGCCACTTGTTTGGCCAAATACTCAACTTGAGCTTTGAGTTCGGCATTGGATGCAACCAAATCTTCCCTAGTAATGTTTTGGGGGGTGTGAGACATGTTTTGGCTGAAATGAGGATGAAGGAAAGAAGAAAGAGTGGAAGTGTGTTCTTGGTCCTTTGGGATGTAGGAACAAGAAGCTTTGATACCAAATGTTATATCTCGGCTCCGGGTTTAC